TACAGACTCTATATGAATCTGAGGTGTGACACAGCTGCACAAAAAGTAAATGCAGTTTTGTGATGCATCAATAGAAGGATTAGGTGCATAGTGCTTCTCTACTTGGCACTGGTTAGGCCTCATCTAGAGCAGTGGCTCTAAAACTTTTTGTAGCAAGACCCATTTGTAAACATCAATAGCTAGCCCCAGTCCAGTGCCCCTCACTACTAACCCATTGACCCCCATCCCCAGCCCCCCCAGTGTGTGGGGCAGGGGGTGGGTGTTTGGAGCAGGGGTGGGTGTGTGGGGGGAACCCAAAGCAGCCCCTTGAAGGCTGGAACTCTGACAGGTTTAAATTGGGTATTAGGGGAAAAAAAACACATCTGTCAAAAGAATGAGGCAGTGGAGTAGACTGCCTAGGGATGTTGTGGACTGTCCATCATGGGAGGTGTTCAAAAAGAGATTGGACAGCCCAGGGTCAAAAATAATCTAGGGATAACTATGTGTATACTATACTCTACTTTGGGTATTTCCCATGCTTCTGGGCAGTACCGACTGCAGCATGGGGCTAGAAGGGAATTTCCATCCTCTCCACCCCGACCCTTCCTGCTACATCTGTCTATTGTTTTGGGGGTTTTTTTAAGTCTTCCTGACAGGCACTAGGTGATGGCTTCAGCCAAGGCTGGGCATTTTGACTGGGGTGCACCAAGCCTCCTGGTGGGACTTAAATCCAGAGGTTCATAGCTAGAGGGTGTTGCCCCTTCACTCAAGAGTCAGACCAATTGCTATATTTGTGGTCAGGAAGGAATTTTACCCCATGGTCACACTGGTATGGACTGTGGGGGATTTGGTCCTCTTCCTGTGACCTCCTGAGTATGTATTCACAGCTTGTACAGCAGCAGGACACTGGTCACCATGGTCTCACGTGGAAAGTTGGAGTGTTAGGTCTTGTGTCAGGGTTGAACACATAGTTTTGCTAAGAAGCTAGAGAATGGATTTGTATGACATGGTCTGTATAAAGATGACCCTGCCTCAGGTGGGGCGTTAGACTAGATTGCCAAATAGCTAACAAGAGGCATGTATTTTTGCATATGGATTTGAGGATTGGTTTCTAGCTTAAAAACTTGCATACAGTCATGGGGCAGACAGCTTCAAAAAAAAATCAGAAGAAAATGAAACCCTTGAAAATGTATTGTATTTTAAATTGTATTGTATTGTATTGAGATTTACTTAAATATACACTGTATATTTAAGTAAATCTCATGATTTTCAGAAGTCTGTCTCAATTTTTGAACAAGCAGAGTTGCTTACCCTAAAGAAATGTAAATTTACTAAGCAATCTAGGAAACAAATGCTTGTTACATAGGAGAGGAAGTTTAGTGAAACCAAGGTGACTTCAACCACCTGCCCTACCCTACCCCAAGAGTCTACTTCTTGATGGTTGCTTCTCTGCTTTTGGTCAACCACCAGGAAGACTGCGATACACTTTTGATGCTTCAATGTCTTCTAGTTCAGAACCACCTCTCTTACGGAAACCAGAAGATCATCCCCTTTAATTGAAGCCAGCCCTCCATTAATAAAAATAAGCATGACAGTGCCAAATTCACACTAGGAAACAAAGTTCATCTGTCATGATACATGGCTTCTATCTGCTCATGGCCTTATCAGAATTTCCTCCCTGTTCTCAAGTGTACACAGAATGAAGGAGGAGGGAAAGAGGAGCAGAAATCAGGTTGCTTTCCAATTCTGGTACAAGGCTGAGGATTTAATGGCCAGTGAGAATCCCTTAGTCCAAGTTAGAATGATTACAAGGATGATCAACTCACACCAATCAAAAAGCATCAGCAACTGTAGCAAAACCCCCAGTTTTGTTTTGTTTTAATGCATTCGCTTCCCTTCCCCAACCATTTCTGACTAGTTCTCTCCCTCTCTATTCCCTATAGATAAGTATAAGTGAGCTCAAACTTAGGATAAGCTTTAAACATTTTTATTTTGGTAGCAAGTTTTTGGTTTTGAATATCCACTGTTTCATACTGCATTATTATTAGATTTGTATTGATTTTTATTGTTTCATATGGATATTGTATGGTTTAGGCCTGTGTC